GATAAGTGTTCTTCCAACTTTGTATCAGCAGGGTTAGGGTGAAGTGAGGTTATAATCTTGTTTTCCTGTCTTGTAGCAGTTTCCTGTGTGAAAATCTAGTTTTACTGCCCTTATTGTTTTGGTTGTTATTGTGCTCGCATTGTACATTTTCCTATAGAGTTGTGTTCTATCAAATTGCCACAAACTAACTGACAGAAACTGAATGAGAGAAACTTTTGGGACAGGTAGCATTACTCCAGCATTACTCCAGCATAGGAGTATTGGTTGGATTCTGCATGTCTGGGCACATGATGAAGCTGCTATGTGTAGTCTGCTGTGTGCTCTATACTGACTAAGGATTTAGAGGTGAAAAGGTAAAGTCTGACACTAATATCAATATTGTGTATATGTTAACAAAGAGTTGCATGCCACCCATGACCTACATGTATACACCTGACTTGTCAAGGAGGAGACTGATGATCTCATGAGTAAAAGAAAAGTGTGTGTGTGTGTGTGTGTGTGTGTGTGTGTGTCTGTCTGTCTGTCTGTGTCTGTGCGTTGCTAGGGAGTGGCGGGAGCTGGCAGTGCTGGGCACAAGCTCAGATTCATGGTCCTCTGTGCCTTGTACAAATACAGCCATAGTAGGAGAACACACAACAGGCCTCTGTTACAGCTCCAAGTAAAGCAGTCTGCACCTTCAGTTAGATGGTTCATTAAAGGAGCATTCACTGCAAATGTACTGATCCGAAGAACAGATTCTGTGGAGAAGAGCCAGGGATCATTTTAGGTGAATTTCTGTATCTAATCAATGTACGTCATTGGAGGTATTTTGTCTTGTTTTGTTTTGTTTGAAAAGCTAAAGTGATGCTGGGATGTTCTGTTTGTAATCTAAGTTAAATGGGTATCAGTTCCAATGCTGCTTTCATACATCAAAACGTTACCAGATGTTGGGGAGTTCTTGTGTATCAAAAATGTAAGTTCAAGTCTTTAGTATCTCCAGAATGAGCTGTGTGAAGTCTGACAAATGTCCTCATGTGATGTCACTTGATTCAGCATCTGTTGGGTCTGAAGTTTGAAAAGCAGAAAAAAATCTGGATGTGTGAGAAGTGTTTTGACAGGACCTCTGAAGCAGAGTGGGTCCATTTTTTAAAACCCGCCCATACCTATAAAGCTCAGTATCAAACCCAACCCATTAACCATCATTATGTCCAAGCTGCGCCCGCCTCCACTCGTCAATAAAGGTCCCACAATCCAACCTGCCCCTGTGATTAAACACACACAGGCTACAGTCACTCACATTAAGCTGGGTTCTCTGTTCTTGAATGCCAAATCCAGCTGAGGAAAAGTCTCTTTCACGCGCTCGATGTCGGGATGACATGAACATTCCATGCAGGTTAGGAAACATTTGAGCATGCTCCTTCCACCACTATGAAACCTCAAAAGAATCCTCCTTGGGTGTCTTGAACTCAAAGGCATCTTCGGGCTGCAAAGGTTCACTGGAGTCCTCCACGACAGTGACGAATGTGACGACAGGGTAAAGGTTCTGACTTGTGTCACTGACTTTGAAAAATAAAAGCAATAGCAGCTTGATAATAGTGATTTAGATGTCAGAATATTACAACATATTACAGCACATCTTTTTCATTTGTTTTATTCTGAAAAAAATGTATGTGTATATACACA